CACACTATAACCTGACTTATCAGCACCAATGTTAACGGTGATCACCTGGCGCTGGCTCAGGTAACATTTGTCAGGCTTCTCCACTATTAGTTACTGTTTTTGCTTCTTTCCATACTGTGCTCTTAGAAAAGTCACTATGTGCAGCCCACAATTAAGGAGTGAGGATTTATGCTCCACTTCTTTGAGGGTGGAGTAGCTACATAAATTATTTGGAGTCCTTGGAATCTTGGAATAAATTTGTCTATTCTCCCTCTACTTATTTATGCATTCAGTCATTTATTTATTTATTTTTATAACCCAATACTACTTTATTTATTTTCTTGCTCAAATTTTTCCAGCTATGGCCACTGGGAACTTTTTCAGTTTGTTCTTGTATCCTTTTGACATTATGATCCATCACTGTGGGGATTTTTTTGTTTTTTTTTAATTAAAAATTTTAGCACTTTTCACTTTCTGGTACTACAAGATGCTTTGGGCCATCTTGTATATTTCTTGCCATAATCCTAGAATCAGCTCTTTTTCTAAGGGCCTCTAGCTCCTTTTATTAGAGAATAGTGTTAATAATCAAGACCTGGGAGTGAGGTGTGCTTGTTACAGCCAGGGTGTGATTGCTTCTAAGCCTTCTCAACTGACAGAGCAAGGAAATATTATGTGTGGAAATGCTTTCTTTGGAGCAAATGGGTATACATGTGTTCACACTCTGATATATATTTTATCATTTCAATATGAATTTGTATGTGTGTGTGTGTGTGTGTGTATGTCTGCTGAAAGAGGGTTGCTCAATGTGGGTGCTCAGTTCTCTGTCTTGAAATGGAAGCCCATTGGGAACCAACTAGATATCCTCTAATGGGTTTAAGTGAATTAGACAACTTAACTATTTCTTTTTGTTGGGAGATAGTTATCCATGGATCTCTTGTGTTTCTGTGCAACTTGCAAGTAGGAGAACTCTCTTTTTATGGATGTTCATATAGTAAGCGACAGCCTTGACAACAGAGGTAATGTCTTCCTCTGGAGCAAAGGGCAGATTCATTTACTGTCCAGTATATTAAATAATGTCTCCCTCTGAGGCAAAGTTTGGGCAGGTTTGCTTGTAGCCCAGGACAAAAGATTCATGTTCCCTACACTCAGGGGTCCTCAGCTGTGAGGCAAACCCTCTGTATGTGTGACATCCATCTGGGTGGCTCCACTTTGCCCTCAATGGCTTATGGGGCCACCAAGAACCAACACCAACACGAAGCTCATCCTGTTTACTGTGCCTTGAGTAGCAAAGTCATTTGTCTCATCCAAACATCCAGAAGTCTTATGTCTTCTGTGAGTTTCCATGAAACCAGTGGGGCTGACTTGTTAGCGTACAAGTTGGGTCAAATCTCCAGACTGGTCACAGATTTTGACACCTTTCCCTTAATTTATATTTAGGACTAGCAATATTCTGATATTTCTCAGCTAAATTTAAGGTCTTTTTTGAGTTAACAATGCTAAAAAATAAATTTTCAAAAGGAATAAAGTTATGACTCTTACATATAATAAAATGAAAACATCAAAATTTTATTTAACTCACGAAATAAAGAGGAAACCAGCCAGATGTCACTACTGCTGGTTCAAAGGAGAGGTCAAAGACAAATTTGTATGGAGTCAAGGAATGTTGAAAATACACTTACAAATGGACACAAAACTGGCTTCTTCCATGGAAGGTGGGGTAGGAGAGTGGGGTGCGGTGAAGTTTATTGAATCTCCATCAGACAGAATTTATTTGCATGTCTGTAAACAAGAATTATTTGCATTTCTCCACAATATACAGAGTTGTAAAACAACTCCAAGACAAGAAAAGACACAAATTCCATAGAAACAAATAACTTGGAAAGGTGTGCTGTAAACAATGCATAATTTTCCACTGGATACACACGGTAATCATTTTTTGCTTGTTCAAAAAAGTCTTAACTTTCTCATACAGCAATAAAATGTACTACGACAATGTTTCCAAGGTTATTGATCCAACGTGTGACATAAAGAGATTTTACAAAGTAAACCTATACGCACATATACAAGAAAGATATTGGAAGAGATTCTAATGATCTGGCCTCAGAAGGGAGTCTGACACAGCAGAGAAAAATGTGCTCCAACTCTGTTGGGAGGAAGTCCCAACCGGTCCCAACCGGAAGTCCCAACTGATTCAGACAGTTCCCTCTACTAACCACTAGGTGCCGCTAAGCAGGAATGACGACCCCTGGCAGGAGGGGGAGGGGCAAGCGTGGCAATATCTTATCTATCAATGGTGATGTTCAGCAGACGCACGAATTTGGGAGGTTCTTTGGTGGGAAGACATTTTTCACCCCTGCACCTATTCCAGCACCTTGCTCATAGTAAGCACTGAATACCATGTTTCTTGAAATGAATTTACTTGTTCAGAACACAGCGTGGGGTGGAGGTAAAGGAGTGCTTTTACACTCTAGGCATCTGAAAATAATACGATGTTCCTGAGTAAGAGTTCTTTAAAGTCTTCTGACCATACCAGGAGAAAGGGAGAAAACATTCCAAATTGGAAATCACTCGTCAATTAAGCAAAAGGAGATACATTTAGCTATGACATCAGACTTAGTAAATCTATGAGCTGCTTCCATTGCCTGTACACATGTAGCAAAATACTTGTTTGAATGCAGATGTGGCAAGTCACACCTTTGTTTTGCCCAGGTGCCATCAAATGTGTTTTCCTCCACTCTCAGCCATCCCCAATACTTCCTAATAATTTCTAATTAATTTGGTGCAATGAGAAACTGATGACAAGCCATCTATAATTTTATGTAATCTACATTAGTATAAAATGAAAAGTGAAAAGTAGAGGGGCAGTGAGTGCTGATTAGAAACATAACTGGAGGGAAGAGAAGAGGGAATCGGGAAGCTCTCAGAAAACCCCAAGAACAGAATTTCTCTCCCCTAACTTTCCTGGCTCCTCTGATGCCTTCGTGGATGTCCGTTGGTTCTGCCCAGGGACCTTTCACTCTTCTGCTGTTAATAGCACCTTGATTTTACTTTGGGAGACAAGTCCCTTACCCCATTCAGTTCACATGCTCCCCCTTCCGATGCCTGAGAGAGAAGCAGGAAGCCAAGCTAGGCCTGTTCCCTGGAGACTATCATAGAGCCCGAACACCATTGCAATTCTTTCTTCTTGATGTCTTGCTTCCTGGAATCCCACAGCTGCCCTGGTGCCTGCCCTTTCAGAGTCTGAGTCTTCATTTTTTCTTCAAGTCTGTGAACCATCCCATTCTCTTCCAGGAAATTCCTATTTGGCTATATTAGCCAGAGTTGCTGTCTGTTGGATGTAGCCAAAGAACATTGATTGGTGTAATGAGGAAAAGGAGCTAGTAGGAAATCTAGTCCTATGATTGCTTCTGTAATTTCTGTTGAACTTATTGAAAAGAGTTAGTAGTAGGATAACGGAGGTTTACCTTGAAGATGAGGAATAACTAACATTTACAGACACTTACTATATTCCAAACATTCCTCTAAATATTTATATGTATGTCCTATCTAATCTTCAGAATGACCCAATTGGATAGATGCTATAGTATTATCCCTATTTTACAGATGAGAAAACTAATGGGCAGAGTAATTAACTAACTTGCTCATTTTCATGTGATCAGATTAACATTTCTCAAAGTTTGTTCTATAGAATATTCATTTCTCAGAATTGTATTAGTTTCTTAGGGCTGCCATAAAAAAGTACTACAAATTGTGTGGCTTAAAACAACAATTTTAATTTATGGTCTGAGTTCTGGAGACTAGAAGTCTGAAATCAAGGTGTCGCAGGGCCATGCTCTCTGTGATGGCTCTGAGGGAGAATCCCTGCTTGCCTCTTGCAATTTCAGCTAGTTGCTGACCAGCCATCCTTGGCATTCCTTGGCTTGTAAACCCATCACTCCAATGTCTGCCTCTTTAGTCACATGATTGTTTTCTTTCTGTATGTTTCTCTCCTTTTCTGATAAGAACACCAGTCATATTGGATTAAGGACCCACCGGCTCCAGTATGACTTCATCTTAACTAATTATATCTACAACAACCCTGTTTCCAAATAAGGTCACATTTTGAAATACTAGGGGTTAGGACTTTTTGGGAAACACAATTCAATGCATATCAAAAATGTTAATAGAAAACCTACCTAACAGGTACAATGAACACTATTTGGGTGATGGGCATACTAATAGCTCTGACTTAAGCATTTTAAAATCTATCCATGTAACAAAAACATTTGTACCCCCTTAAGATTTTGAAATAAAAAAAGTTCATAGAAATTGCTCAAAAAAGAATTCTGTGGTCAAAGGAGTTTGGGAAACACCATTATATTACAGGATTCTTTGCCGTAGTAGTTAGCGGGGAGGAGGGTAGCTTTAATTTGTCAATCTGTGAGGAGAGTTGTCAAGCTGGGACTGTTATGTATAGTTTCTCAACAACATGTTTGATTGTGGACTTCTTTTTACAAGCGCACTGTGGGATTAGTGTTCAATGTGGAACAGCTTTCTCACACCGCCTCGTGTTGTCCCTCCCATGTCTTCTGGTTTTACTTCTTCCCTGTGGTCCCACCTTGGACAGCTGCTTTTCTTCTCTGAGCCTGAGTGTTCTTATCTCTAAGACAGGGACAATAATACACTTTCCTTACGAGTTTCTTGTGATGATTTAACTTAAATTAGGTAGGCTGAAAAACACCTGGTCCAGTGCCTGGCATGGAAAGAAAAGAAACAGGCATTCACTTAATAGTTAACTTGATTATGCTAACCAGACAGTTCTGAATTTCTTGGCATTTTTATTAGGCATTTCCAGGATCTCAAAAATAATCCCTAAATAGGACAATTTTCACCAATACAGTTTTCTTGTTCATCTCTTTAGGAGAATAATTTTCTTTATGGTAATAAAAATTTACCTTGGGTAAATATTCAACCCAATCGTAATTTTAATAAATCTCCAACATTAGCAAAGAATGGTTTGTTAGCTCTGTAGTTCCTTATTCTGATCTTCCACCCCAGTGAGGGGAAGAGGATGTGATCATGTGCTCCTGGCAGAAGGGAAATTGTGAAAGAGACCCGCTGTAGAAAAGGCAGCCCACAGCACCTCGGCTCTCAGAAGAGGTGAAGCTGCCAAGACGACTTGTCTGAGAGTGGACCTATCTGTCTGTCTGTCCATCCGACATGGAACCAAAGCAGATCAGGGAGGGCTACCTTGTGAAGAGGGTGAGTAGAAGTGCCGCTTACAGGGCTGGGGGGAAGACGGGCTGAGGAGGACTGGTGCCTGGCTTTTTGCTCCACTCACTCATTTTAGGAATGTTTCATGCTGAACCTATTGTGTTGGAATAGCAGGGCATGGCCCCCTGTAGAATGTGGGGCCTGGGGGCGGAAATACATATTCCAGTGGAGGGTAGTTAAGAAACTGCCTTCTGTTTCTTAAGGGTGAACTGCTTAAGCTTCCTCATGGTTTGATTTGATGAGTCTGAGAACTCCAGACTGCAGGGTCTGGAAGGTGGGGACCTAAGCTAACTCCCTCAGGATTTAGAATATCCTTTTAAAGAGCCACATGCACACGTTCTGCCAAAAGACTCAAAACTCCTGTGCTGTAGAATTTACCTGGAGAGACTATTCATTTGTTATTTAAATTCTACCACCTCTTAGTTTTTTTTTTTTTTTTGGAGGGGGAGAAAGAATAAAATGATTAAAGATGAGTTGATATAATGATATAGTAATTATAGATTATTTCTTGGACCATCTTCTTAGAACTGATGCATTAAAAATCTTATCTTTTTTTATTGGGCTGAAATTGAATGAACTTTTTAATTTTCTTCACTCACAATTCTTAGTAAATTTGTATAACATGCCATTAAGGTTGTACATGTGCCATTTTAAAGATTAGAAAATAGAGACTCAAGTTTACTCAAAGATACTTAGTCTCACTTGTGTTGCATCAGGAAAATTGAATTTTGTTAGCACTGTTGGTATTTCTTCTGATGCTGGGTGTGTTCGGTGTGTGCTGAGTTGTTGTGAAACCACCCAAAATGGTGAATTCACAGGCAGGGCCTGTTGGCATCCTGTGGGCAGCACCTAGCTACACAAGTGTGCTCGCACTAACCCAAGTGAGCTCAGTGTTTCAGAAGTGAACCGAATTTAGTACATTCCTTCAGATGCCTAGCTTTTTAATTGAATGAACACTTATGAGACTTTGTTTTAGGCCACTCGTTTGGGGTTAAATAGCACACATTGGTGCCTGATTCCATTTTGTTTTCAGGCTGAAGGGACCTTAGGTCATCTGGTCCAATCCCCTCATTTGCAGAAGAGATAGCCCCAGAAGGCTCAGCAGCTGCCCCAGGTCACATGGCTGTGACATCGCTGGGACCAGAAGCCCACTCCCTGACTCCTGAGTTTCTGACTGATGGCACTAAGCTCTGTTCAGTACCCCTATATTTTCTTAAAGAAAATTTAACACATGGACTGTATTTAACTCAAGCTTTAGCTCAAGTTTTGAGCCCAAGGCCTCATAAAGCAAAACCCTGCAGTTGGTTCGTGAAAATCTTACTTGTTGATATATTTATTGTTACAATTAATACTGAAAATTTAATTCTAAAAACATGGATCACATTGCATAGAACTCGAGCACAGAAAACAATAAAAAATAACAAATTAGAAAGGGTCATTTTGTTTTAATAGAACACCATGGCCCTGGGAAATTGTTTTTTTCAGGTGTGGCAGTCAATGTGTTAATCTAAGTTAGGGTTTATAATGTATTTGTGGTGGTGACAGTTGTGAGTTGGTGCTGGAAAATAATGGACCCTCAGTGGGTAATCTCTCTAGCGAGCCATACTTTGAAACATCCTTTGGAAAAGACCCACATCTGCACAGAGGTGTATGTAGATTCCTTGCAATAGGCACCAATATACTCTCTGAGAACCAATAATAATTAATATTGACTTATTTCTTTCCTGATCACTTGGACTAGTATCCTGACAAGCAAGTAAATAGAAACATTTATGCAAGGTTTTTTGTTTTTGTTTTTTAAAAAATTAGAAACATCTTGCAATGAAAATTGCTATTACAGAGTTTGTATGCTCATATTTTAAACTCCCAGAATGACAAAGATATGAAAACTAAATCTCTATTAAGTCAGGCTGTCTCACTAGAAAATGGGGATGATGGAGTCAGGGTTGTGAAGCATCAGGACTTAATAAATGTTTTTAATCAGGGAGAGTAATTCTGGCAGTTTATGGCCTGTAAAAGCCAATCTAGAAAATGTAGCTGGAAGAAAACATAGTGAAATTTCATATTGGTAGTTCTATACTTTATACCTTTCTTAATTTTCATGCTTATAATTTATATTTTTCCATAATTTTTGCATTTTTCTCTAGTACCTTTTGAATACTCTCTGATGTAATGCATTAACAGTCTCTAATTTGGCATCTTTAAGAAGTGTTTGGTTCAGAAATATTCCATTTGTCAGCTGCAGAACTAAACCCAAAGCCAGAATTTCCCAACAAGGTATTAAAGTTCTTGACTTCTTTAGACATTAAGTTTCTTACAATTATCTCATGTATGGATTAAAAACAATATATGTCAGAAATCTAGCACATAGTTTGTGCTACATAAACTACATAAGACACTGATTATTAGTATTAGTATTAATATACACTTCAGCAAACAGTGAATCCTGGATACTAATGGGGGTATGTACTGGTTCCTGGGTTGGTTGCCAAGTTAATCATGAAGAAAGAGCCATGAAAATCTATCTCTGACAAGACTGTTACGAGTCTTGGCAGGGGTTATTGATGTTAAACATGACAAGCAATAATAGATGAATCTTTCCTCCTTCTCTTATGCAGCTTAAGATACCTGGGTAGTAATAAAGAACATCTTTCTCCTATGTCTTGTTTTATGATACAATTTTATTGGAGATAAGATATTTTGAGAAGAAAAAAAGCACGACATTAGAATATGCTGGTGCAGTTTTGTCGAGTCAGAAATCTTGGGGTCAACAGTCAATGGCGCTAACTATAAAATGTTTCTGTTTTTTTCTGTGCAAGAGAACTGCCCGCATTTCACAATTCAGGTTTCCTCTTTTGCCTCCTGACGAGATCTTTAAATAAAGATGATGGTTAAGAGTGGGAGGGAAAATACACGATTCTTTCATTTTCCAACGCTGTCATTCTAAATAACACTGAGGTTTCCCTGCCTCAGTCTTGTCATTTTTGATTTACAAGAAAGCACTTAGAGCCAACCACGTAGTGGCTAGCTGCTATACAAATATGACCTCATTTAATCCTAACCACCCTGTGCGATCCCCATCTTACAGATGTGAAAACTAAGGCTCAGAGAGAATAAGTGACTTGTCCACAGTCAAACAGCTGGTGCGAGGACGACTTGGGATTCAAACCCAGGCCTGCCTAACAGCAAAGCCCACCATCTCATTGGTCCTGTGCAGCATTCTGAAGGGCAGGCTGACCCAAGCCAGCAAAACAGAGATCAGATGAACTCCCCAGTGCCAGAGTGGGGCCTGAACAAACTGTACTGTGGGCAAGATTGGGTTTAGTAACCTCAGCCTCCCTTTCTCTCTGATTAGGAAGTTACTTTGTATGCAATAAACATATTTGGAAGGTCCTTGAACACATACTACTGAATCGGATATGTTCATAATCACAGCTTAAAAAAGAGAGAGGAGCAAATTACTTGCCATAAATAACCTAGACTCCTCCAAGTCATTTTTCAAACTAATTTCATTCCAAGAGGTTTATGGGAGCAAGCTGTTGCTTCCATGTCAACCGACCCAGCAAGCACTTCATGTGGTGGGACAAACTCAAAGAGTGTCTTAGGGATTCGGATGTCCTGTGAGGCTCGGAGAAAGCACAGGAATCGGGGTGATGGAAAGAGAAGGACAAGTGGCTGGAGCAGGAAGGAAAAGCACTGTAGCAAGCTGTGGTGGAAGGGGAAAGGCTGAGGTGAAAGGAAGAGCAGGAGAGTCAGGGGGCCTGGCCCAGGAATTCCTCCCTGCAGCTACATTATCTTCTGGACAGGATGAAATAATCCCCGGTGATTTGCACCCATTGATCCATCATCATTGTAATAGCTGCATATGTGGTGTTTACTCTGCAGCAGGGAGAGTTCTAAGCATTTAATGCATTAATGCATTTATGTAACGTACTTATAAAGATCCTACAAAATGGGTACAATTACTGTTCTTACTTTACTGATGAGGAAATTGAGGTACAGAGAGGCCAAGGACCTTGTTCAAGGTCACACAGATAATAAGTGGCAGAGCTGATTTGAAACTCAGCAGTCTGGCCCCAGCATCACACAGAGCGTAACTACTCTCCATGTGGCCCTCATGGGCTCATATTGCAGTGCCTTTCTTTCCCAAAGCACTGTTGCTGTGATGGGTGGTACCCAGGAGAATGTCATGCCAGAATGACTCTGCAGTGTTACCCACAAAACTGTACTCTTACCTGTCTATATGGTTACCATTTCTTGAGTACCTACTACATGCTAGCCACTATGCTAAACCTTTAAGTATATTATCTCATTTAATCTTTACAATCATGGGAAGTAGGTACTTTGTTACATTCATTTTACAGGTGAGGATACTAATGTTTGGAAAAATTAAGTGACTTGCCTAACATCACAGAACCTGGAAGAAACAAACTTGAGATTTGAATCTAATTCTAAGACTCCATAAATCATGCTGTTCAGTCCTCTGTGCCATTTCTGTATTGCTTATTTAATATGTTTTTATTGAAAAATTGCCCAACCTGGAAGAGTTTATTTACATAAAAAATATACTACTGAATAGATTAGCTCCCTTGCCTCAATGAGTTTACACAGGCACAAAAAAAACATTTGTTTGGGATGTTATGCAGTGATTTTTGTGAACCAGTTTGGAAAACTGGAAGGTATGATTTATGATGTAACAGAAATAAGGGTTTAATTGAGTGCAGTATCCACTTAAAATAACACGTCCCATGGGTGTGGGAAAATAGGTAATAGTGACTCATAGTTCTGCTTTAGTTAGATACATAGTTTTGACCATAATGTAATTTTCCTTTGAATTACAGTCATACGTCAGCAGATGAAAAGAGAACTTGAAGGAAAGGGGAAGTTAAAAGTGCTGTCCTCGCTTTGGAGGAAGTGTCTGGGAGGGGTTCTAAACACAAAACTCCAACTTCCCCAACTCTCAGCCATTGGCTGTGGTGTCTTCCAGT